ACATAAACAAAATGTACAGATAGTTAGCTGGTGCTGGAGGTAACGCAGAATAAGAGCTGCGGATCGATACATGTGAGAAAGAGTAAATTGTAGGGGTGTAGGAGTATAAATTATTCATAGGTGTTGGCGTGCGTAGAAGATAGACCATTCCAAATATTGCAAGTCATGGTTGATAGGGCAAGGGTGTCAGGTGTATGGTGTGCTAATCTGCGATCATGTGAAGGTGGGTGAGAAGTGGTGATCTGGGCAAAAACTGAAAGGCTGTGATTGAAAATATAAGTTTCCGTGCATGGCACGGTAAGTGAAGTTAGCAACCCACCAACAATTACATTCCTAACATAATTTGCACGTACTTGCCATAGCGCATCACGTGCCCGTGCAGAACACGCACTCCGAACTCCCGCGCCCCGGCACGGGACCACGCGGAGCATGCGCATTACTCCGGCTCTCGATGCTGTTTCTTCTTCATCCTTGCTGCGCCAACAGTCAGATCGCTTGACAACCTTGGCCAGTTTTTGAGCTTGCTCTTCGCTTTGCTGTGCTGACGGTCAAATTGTTTGACTATCGCGGCCAGTTTCTGATCAATATCCGATCAACCAGGTCTCTGTCAGTGAGCGATGTCCAGCCAAAACGCTCCGTTTGCTTTGCTGCGCTGACGCAGTGACGGTCAAATTGTTTGACAATCGCGGCCAGTTTCTGATCAATATCCGATCAACCATGTCTTTGTCAGTGAGCGATGTCCAGCCATAACGCTCTTTGCTTTGCTGCCTTGACGGTCAAATTGTTTGACAATCGCGGCCAGTTTCTGATCAATATCCGATCAACCATGTCTTTGTCAGTGAGCGATGTCCAGCCAAAATGCGCTCTGCTGAGCTGCGAAACGCACTGGCATCCCGCAATTATTTAGACCCGACAGGAACAAAACCTACTCCGCGGACTCGCCTGCTCGAGTTGAAGTTGGCTCCAGACTACTGTACGCGAGGACTTGGCCGCTCCGGCAGCGGAGCAGAACCTAGCCGAGGCAACTGCAGCCCCATCCCTGGCCTGGGAGACTTTAGTCGGGAGGAGGTTCGCGACGCTTGGAGCACGTATTGTGCGACTGACGCAGCAGCACACCCCTCCAGGGCCCCCGGAGCTGTTTTCGCACCAGCCCATAATCTTGAAGATGGCTCGGAAATTTAGGTCCCTGATGCTGAGCTCTCCTCTCTAAAGCTGACACGAAGTATGCCTGGCGGCTTTGGCCTGTTTCCCCTCATCATCATGTCTGGCCCCGGCTTGGCATTTTTGGGAAGGTTCGTACCATGTAGATAAGGCACCACCATTTGGCCTTAGATCCTCCCCCTTCCGTTCAACAGACCGGCTGATGTGGACTCTCAGCCCAACGGTGACTCTGCATTGACTGGAATGATCCTGCTAAGTCTCTTACTCGTCTTCGAGTACAGCGCTTCCGGACTCTCAGCCCATCTACCGACGCAGTGCTGACACACCCTGCACAGTCCACCCTCCAGCAGTTGACGACGCAACCATGGACCTCATCCGCCAGGGCCTGGCGGCCAGTTCCAGCATAACATGCGCTTCGCTGCCGCGCTCCGAACACTTGTCGCCCTGCGCCAGGGCAAGCCACACTCAGGGACTGATCAGTGCCGGCAGCATTGTTCCAGATCCTGTACTTTGAGTGCATTGCCCACTGTGCTAATGGCTAGCCGCATTGGACGGCACTCACATCAAATGCAGTGTAATAGTAATGCAGATAAATCCTGTTTGGGTCAGGTTGTCAGCGCTGCCGGACTCGCATTCCAACTGCCGAAGTGGTGCCGACACAACCAGCGGAGTCCACCCTCCAGCAGTTGACGACGCAACCATGGACCTCATCCGCCAGGGCCTGGCGGACAGCTCCAGCATGGCATGCGCTTCGCCGCAGCACTCCGAACGCTTGTCGCCCTGCGCCAGGGCAAGCCAACCTCAGGGACTGATCAGTGCCGGCAGCATTGTTCCAGATCCTGTACTTCGAGCACATCGCCCACTATGCTAATGGGCAGCCGCATTGGACGGCACTCACATAAATTGCAGTGTAATAGTAATGCAGATAAATCCTGTCTGGGTCCGGTTGTCAGCGCGTCTGGACTTGCAGCCCAACTGCCGAAGCGGTGCCGGCACAACCAGCGCAGTCCACCCTTCAGCAGTTGATGACGCAACCATGGACCTCATCCGCCAGGGCCTGGCGGGCAGCTCCAGCACAACATACGCTTCGCTGCAGCGCTCCGAACGCTTGTCACCCCGCACTAGGGCAAGCCATACCCAGTGACTGATCAGTGCCAGCAGCAATGTTCCATATCCGGTACGTTGAGCGCATTGCCCACTATGCTAATGGGCAGCCGCATTGGACGGCACTCACATCAATTGTAGTGTAATAGTAATGTAGATAAATCCTGTTTAGGTCAGGTTGTCGACGCTTCTGGACTCGCAGCCCAACTGCCGACGCAGTGCCGACACAACCAGCGCAGTCCACCCTTCAGCAGTTGACGACGCGGGCCGCAACTTTGGACGATCTGGCTGGCGTACAGCACTACCTGCAGTCCACCGTGCCTAGCCCGCACAACCGCGCCATGCTCTGGAGCGCCGTGACTCTGGCCTTCCACCGGCTGCTCAGAGTCAACGAGTACACCTTAACGGCACGGGGCGCCGGCCTTGAGTACAGCGATGCGACCATGTACCCAGACCGCGTGGAGCTGCGCCTGCGTGTGACAAAGACGAGCCAATACGGCAGCGGCCAGGACATTAGCGTCAGGAGGACAGGCTCGCCGACATGCCCGCACACGGCAGCCGCCAGCTACCTAGCAGCCCGTGGCTCGGCACCTGGCCCACTCTATCGCTATGATGACGGCACGCCCCTGAAGCCGCATAACATCAACAGGCTACTGCAAACAGCCTTGCCTAACAAAGACGTGCGCAGCCACAGCCTCAGACGAGGCGCTGCAACGCTGGCAGGCAAAGCTGGCGTGCCTGAGTACGTGCTGAAGACCGCCGGCAGGTGGCAAAGCTCTGCCTACCTCCGCTATGTCCGCACCCCTGTCGCAGACAGAGCATTGCCAGCGGCATTGTTCTAGTCTCTGCCCGTTATGCTAATGAGTAGCCGCATTGGACGGCCCTAGCAACAGCTGTAGTGTACATATGATATACCTATTATACTATAACTATAGTAATGCCGATAATTCCTGTTTGGGTCATGTTGTATTTTGGGAGAACGGTAGGGATCGTGGGTCAGGCCGGCATTGAGCCAAGTGCGCCTACATGTGCTCACAAGTGCATCCCTACCGTATGCGTGTATTGACACGCCGGGCAATTGTTGCCCCCATTAGCCCTGGCATTGGCCAGTCTAACGCACATTGGTGCTTGCGATACTACGGCATTGGTCCATAGTATTGCATACTGCATGCCGCAATTGTTGCATGCGATACTACGGCATTGGTCCATAGTATTGCATACTGCATGCGGCAATTGTTGCCTATGCCCTGATAATACAACGCGTAATAGCTCCCAAACAGGTCGGCTTGTGTGGTTGTTAAATATAAGTTTCCGTGCATGGCACGGTAAGTGAAGTTAGCAACCCACCAACAATTACATTCCTAACATAATTTGCACGTACTTGCCATAGCGCATCACGTGCCCGTGCAGAACACGCACTCCGAACTCCCGCGCCCCGGCACGGGACCACGCGGAGCATGCGCATTACTCCGGTTCTCGATGCTGTTTCTTCTTCATCCTTGCTGCGCCAACAGTCAGATCGCTTGACAACCTTGGCCAGTTTTTGAGCACCACCACCCACCCCATCATCTCTAACCATCATTCTATTCTAAGCCATCCCGGAAGGGAGAACGGTAGGGATCGTGGGTCAGGCCGGCATTGAGCCAAGTGCGCCTACATGTGCTCACAAGTGCATCCCTACCGTATGCATGTATTGACACGCCGGGCAATTGTTGCCCCCATTAGCCCTGGCATTGGCCAGTCTAACGCACATTGGTGCTTGCGATACTACGGCATTGGTCCATAGTATTGCATACTGCATGCTGCAATTGT